GAATTTCAAGCCTTCACCCGCTGCATTCTGCCTTTGATTTCAGCAAATCCACGCAAAACATACCCGCCCGATTTCAGGGGAAACGTTTCAACACTGCCTTAGCACAAACCCTCTCATCAAAATGAAGCCCGATTTCACGTGTTCACGCTCTGCATTCTGCCTTTGATTTCAGCAAACCCACACAAAACACACGTCCATGGAAACCACTTCAACAACGCCTCAACAGAAACCCTCTCATCAAACTGAAGACCAGTTTCACGTCCTCACCCTCTCCATTCTCCCTTGGTTTTCAGCAAAACCACACAAAACACGCACATCCGATTTCAGGAAAAAACACCGACACTGTCTCCACAAAAATAACATCCTTCGCATGACGACTGATTTCACGCCTTCGCCCTCTGCATTTTGTCATTAAAATCAACAAAGAGACACAGAACACGTACATCCCGATTTCAGGGATAACACTTCAACACTATCCCAATACACACCCTCCCTTCCACATGAAGACCGATATCCCGTCTTCACCCCCTGCATTTTGCCTTTGATTTCAGCAAACCCACAAGAAGCATACACGCCCAATTTCAGGGAAACCACTTCAACGCTACCTCAACATTAACCCTCTCTTCCCCGTGGAGACCGATTTCACGTCTTCACCCGCTACATCATTTTCCCTTTGATTTCAGGAAATCCACACCAAACACACACGCCCGATTTCAGGGTAACAACTTCAATACTGCCGCAAAACACACACTCTCTTCCGCATGAAGACCGATTTCACGTCTTCACGCTCTGCATTCTGCCATTGATTTCAGCAAACCCGCATAAAAACACCAAACACACACACGCACACGTACGTATGTCTGGACCAGAAACTAGGCTCGATGATCCACTTATCTGGCGACGGGGAGGCCTTGGTCTCCGTGTTGATGATAGTCTCGACGTTGACCCCGATGCTGATGTTATCATTGATGATGGTGCGGACGTTGGTGTCGAATGGTGCTCGGCCAAGTACGGCCGCAGCAGTAGCGCAGCAGGACTTGGAGGTTGTGTTGGATGGCGTACGGCGAGGTAGAACTGAGACCGTAGGGGCGGCGTTTTCGTGCACACTGGGAGAGAGAGTGGTCGCCGAGAGGCAGAGGAAACAGCGTTGGGACAGGGGGATGCGGGGATGTCACGGATCACACGAAGCGTGATGTGGTTTATCCAGTGGAAGTTGACAGAGCAAGATTGCGTAGTGAGAGGAGAAGCCACACCAGCAACTAATCTCGGGTATGCCATGGACATGACAGACACCGCAGGAACCGTAGGGCACCGTGTGCTGGATGTGGCGCAGCAGCGGGCTTCCCGGGTCGAAAAACTTGGCCGTGGTGAGCGAGGAGAGGTCGACCAAGATGACCCAGGATGTCCTTGTCGGTGGTGCTCGTGCGAAAACCAACTGTCGAAGGAGGAAATGCACGGACGTAACAGAGGCGGGGGGGAGGGGAGGGATGGTGGACCCCCCCTCGCCCTATCCCCACACCAGGGGTTTAGTCCCCTCGCGGCCGTGGTGATGCTGTGGTGTATCAGGACGACGACCGATTGTTGTGTAGACCATCTAGCGTTGACAACAACCTACAGACACCGTTGGTACACACGTCCGGGTTTCAGGCCAGCACCTTCAACACTTCCCCAACAGAACACCTTCTCTTCTGCTCGAAGACCGATTTCACGCCTTCGTCCCGATCTGCCTTTGGATAGATATAGAACAGACGGAAAGCACACACGTCCCTGATTTCAGGGGAACTTGAGAAGGACGCACCGTGCAACACATGCAGAGACCTTGGCCACACCAAACCCACAAGTAGCAAGCTGTCCAAGACGTCCAAGATGCTTCGAGCACCTCCAGGATGCCGTCCGACGCCCCGTGTCGACGCTGCTGGCTCTTTTGTGACGACCGGTTGCAGCAGAGACGAACAGGTGGAGAGGGAGGGGGAGAGAAGGCCGGCAATACACACTATTGTGCACTGCCCCCCGAGAGCGAATGGGTTAGGTTACCAACGAGACGCTGCAAGTACGAATCGATCGAGGTCGGTTGTGCGGTAAGCCGTTCTCTCAGTTCACTTCTATCATTCCGATGTCCCCATCAATGCATCCATGTGCTGCAAAAGTGACGGAGAGGAACGGGATAGTCGTGCTGCGTGAAACGACGGGCATCGACAATGCACTAGCAAGGCCGACAGTCAAGATTGCGATTTGAATTGACGGGAAGGTACGAGTTTCCATGCATGGCGAGAGAGTTGAGGAAACGATTCTGCATCTGGTTGCGCGCTACGGTCGTGGTCAGATTGCGCAAGGCACTACTTTCGCGGCTACCGATTCTTTGCTAGGCACCACTCGCTGTCGATATCTCGACCGAGCCTACTTGTGCGCTAGCCCAATCGGTGTTGCTGCGAAGGTGGTTGCACTTAGCAGTCGCTCTATACACCTGCCGGCCGTTGTCAGCGCGGCACGCTTCAAATCGTTCCGAGGTCACCAATACCCCAACACCACCGTCACCAACACGTTGTACGGCGAACGTTCTGACTCCATCCATGTTCTGAGCAGAATGGCTTCCACGCATGTCCGTATTTTCACGTCAAGTGATCGTTCTCGACTGCATTCAGAATCGTGTTCTTTTGATCTTAGAACAACGCCAACCAAGGGAGAAATCAGAACAAGTATCCGGTGCAAGAGCGCAAGGTGTACTCATCTGTCCAGTCGGTCGGGTGTGTGTTGTTGTAGGTTGACGTCTTGGGCCAGGTGTGTTGTTGTAGGTTGAAGTCTTGGGCCAGGTGACGATGTTGATCTTGGAGGGCGTACGGCGACGTAGAACATAGGCCGGTGAGGTGGCGTTTTCGGACATCCTGGGAGCGAAAGTGGTCGCCAAGAGAGAGAGAGAGAGAGAGAGAGAGAGAGTGATCAGTGTGGCGTATGCACGGATCACGCAAAACGTATTGTTGGTGTATGCGGTCGAAATTGAGAGCGAGGTAGATATTGGGTGGCGATCGAAGAAGCTGCGCTAACAACCGACCTCAGTCAACACTGAAAGGGAGTAGTTTCAAACCCGTGGTTTTTATGACGAACCTCCGGTCATCAACAGGGTAGACACCGCGGGCACCGTACGTACGCTGCCTGCGATGGGCACCAGGCAGCTCACCTTGTTGACAGACTTGGCCGTGGCGAGCTAAGAGATGTCCAGGTCGACCAAGATGACCCAGGATGTCTTCGGAGGTGGTATTTTTCGTGCATCACCTTTCGAAGGAGGCAACGGATGGAGGTAGGGGAGGGGGGTAGACGGCACCCCCCTCGTCGTATCCCCGCACAACGAGTTGGGCTACTTCACGGCAGTGGAGATAAATTTAGATGGTATTCAGGCCGACGGTCGAATACTTGTCTCGACTACCTATCTCGATGTTCGACAAACAGACGCAGAGCACAAGCATAACACACGCATGGCACACTCGTCACGGGTTGACGGAGACGACTTCAACACTGGCCCACAACACACACACCCAATTCTGCTTCAAGACCGATTTAACCCCTCGACGCTCTGCAATCCGCCTCTGCTTTTGTTAAACGGGATCCCACGCACACAGGTCCCGATTTCAGGGGGACCACGAAAACCACCGCCCGAAGAAACACCCTCTACTCTGTTTTAAGACCAATTTTATGCATGTACCCTCTGCAAACTGCCATCGACTTAAACAAGTACCCGCACAAGCGTACACGTCTCGAATTCAGGAGAGCCACTTCATCACTGCCCCAACACACACCAATTGCGCAGCATGAAGATCGTTGCTCCACCTTCACCGTCAGCAACGTTCCAATGATTACAACAATCAGACACAGAAAACGTACATCCCGACTTCAGGAACCACTTCAACGCCGCGCCATCGCACACCCTGTCTTGCGCATGAAGCACGATTTCACGTCTTCACGCTTTGCATTCTGCCATTGATTTCAGAAAACCCACACAAAACCCCAACCTCCGATTTCAGGAAAAACACTTCAACTCGGCCTCAAAACAAACCCTCTCAGCAAAATGAACTGATTTCACGCCTTTACCCTCTGCATTCTGTCTTTGATTTCAGCCAACGCACGTAAAACACACACGCCCGATTTCAGGAAAAATATTTCAACACTGCCTCAACACACACCCTCTCTTCCGCACGAAGACCGATTGCACGTCTTCACGCTCTTGATTCTGCCTTTGATTGAAGCAAACCCACGCAAAACACACACGCCCCATTTCAGTAAACAATACTTCAACACTGCATCAACACAAACCCTCTCATCAATATGACGACCGACTCCACGTCGTAACCCTCTGCATTCTGCCTTAGATTTCAACACACACAGGACTCGTACATCCCGATTTCAAGCCAATCATTTCAATACCGCCCCAACACATCCCTCTCGTCGCACACGCCGGCAAGGTGCTGCTTAATGTCGTTGCTCCACGACTGAGCCACTACTGCGAGCGAGAGGGCATCCTCCTGTAGGAGCAGAGCGGTTTCCGCCCGCACCGGTAGACGCTGGACATGCTGTTCGCGATCCAGCGGCTCCATGAGCTCGCGAGGAAGAAGAAGGGCACTGCGGTGTTCGCGTGCTTCGTCGACCTTACTAACGCAACGATTCGGTGGACCGAGACCTACTGTGGGACGTGCTCCGACGCTTCGGCGGGCCCCCGAAGATGCTGGCGGTCATTCGCTACTTCACGAGGGCATGAGGGCGCGCGTCCTAACGAACGACGGGCAGTACTCGGAATGGTTCGACGTGGACCAAGGCCTCCGACAGGGATGCAACCTGGCCCCGCTGCTGTTCGACTTGTTCATTGCCGCGATGCTCGTGGTCGCAGTGACCGAGTTCGACAAGGACCCCAAGGTGACGGCGGACATGGTCAACATCGGGACACACGGGCAAGAAGGGCAGGTCGGCGGGGAAGAAGACGATGGTGGTGACGGACGGAGGCCCTGTGGGCCATGCTCTACGCTGACGACGCGGCCATCGTCTCGCGCTCCACGGAGAGTCTCGAGAAGATGATGTCGGTCATCGTGCGCGTGGCCGGCGTGTTCCGACTGACGGCATCGGAGCCAAAGACGGAAATCATGTGCATGCTGCCGAAAGGGATCGAGGAACGCCCGTTCACGTTCAGCGCCGCCGGCGAGACGTACAAGCAGACAGATCGGGTGNAGAGTCTCGAGAAGATGATGTCGGTCATCGTGCGCGTGGCCGGCGTGTTCCGACTGACGGCATCGGAGCCAAAGACGGAAATCATGTGCATGCTGCCGAAAGGGATCGAGGAACGCCCGTTCACGTTCAGCGCCGCCGGCGAGACGTACAAGCAGACAGATCGGGTGGTGTACCTCGGACGTACCATCTGCGCGGACGGGAAGGCCGACCGGGAGATCACGAGCCGCAGCTGCCGAGCGTGGAAGTGCTACCGCCGGAACAGTGCTTCGATGTACGACAGGCGACGGGCCGACCGCCAGCTCAAGATCCGGCTACTCCAGGCTGAAGTGGTGCAGACTCTCCCATACGGGGGCGCTTCGTGGAGCCTAGCAGCGGAGCACTACACGAAGCTTAATGGAACCCACCGCCAGTTCCTTACACGGTGCATCGGCTGGAGCAAGCGGAAACGCTCAGACCGCCCCCTGTCCTATGCTCAGGCCTCATCCAGGCCGGCTGCGAGGAAACCATCGAGGCCACCGTGCGCAAACGGAGGCTGTGTTTCGCGGGCGTCGTTGTGCGCATGGAGGACAACCGTCTCCCCAAACGCATGCTGCTTGGAGCGATGGCGGGGGGCGTGGGATACCGGGGCGGGCAGGAGAGCGACTGGATGTCTCGTCTAGGAGAGACCTCGTGGCATTCAACGTGGGAGACGAACAGGAAGGGGGGAAATGGAAAGAGAGCGCCAAGGACCAGGAGGCATGGTACAACAAGGTCGAGGACTGGGCGGTATTGTTCATGAGGAAATGGCACAGACAAGAGGCGGAAGCGTCCGCGAAGCGCCAGCGCGCGAAGGAAGCAGAAGCAGTGAGTACGGGACCGAAGAGGAAGAGAGTCGGGGAAGCGGCGGTGGGGGGGAAGAAACGGCGACCGGGCACTGCTGTAGAAGCGAGCAGAGCGGCGGAGGCAGCTCCTGTGGCAAACTACGTACCCGGCCGATGTTGTTGCGCCCTGTTCCCCTCCCTGCCGTATGCTGTACTCCTTTATGTATGTCCTTGGCATTGCCTTCGGCCTCTGCGCTGTGTTTCTTTTTTTTCCTGTCCCCCCTACCCCCCTTCCGGTGTTTGCCATCGGGGTTGGGTTTTCGTCGCTTGGCAACGACGTTGTAAAACAAGCCGCCCCC